TCACGTTAGATGACTGTAGTGTCTCTAATCACGCGGTATGTTTGAGAGAAGAGGAATATATATAGTTTGCGTAAAGAGGAAAAAACTATGCTAAAAAAGGCTCAAGAGTAATGACTATAAAATTTCATGAAATAAGCAGATTCTCTTTTCGCACGTGTCGTACAAAAAAAAATATTTGGGATTGATTCAACCTGATACACGAACCAAACGCGTTTTGATTGAAGGAAATGGAATCTCTAGTTCTAGAACCAACTTCGATTCTCAAGAGCCAGAAATTCTACAGTAACAAAATGATACATCCAAAAAAAAAAAGAATTCTAGTCAAAATATAATCCTGTAATTCCATATTCTAAGTGAGAACTTTTACCAAAACAGTATTCTTCTTCTAATAAAGTTAACAGATTTGACTATTGATTTGAAATCTACCAGATATTATCTCGAGCTTTTTTTTCTTAGATTAATGACAAATACTTGAAAATTTATTTATATTTCTGCTTTATAGCTTATTTCTATGAAATAAAATTTATTTTTGTGAATAAACTTTGTATTACGCAAATAAATTTTCAAGTATTCTTTTCTCAGTGTATGAGTCAAAAGAAATATTTTTACTTGAAGCAGAATGTCTTTTTACTAAAAGAAAAATTTCTATTAAGAATAAAACTTGTACTATAGGTAAAAGATGAAATTCTTCTAACTTTGAGAATATTGTGCTTAGAGTGTCTTCACATGTTTTTAGAAGAATCCTCTTCAATATCACATATAAAATTCAAATCCTTTAAGATTCAGAGGATTTTGCTCTCTCTAAGTATAAGATTATGTTTTCTGGGGAATGTGATAAACGAGGAATTGATCAGGAAGGAACAATAGAGGGGAGAAAAAATGGCGAACACGGAGATCTATGCGTTTTCGCACGGTATTCAGCTGTATTATACAATTACGAGTGACAAATGACAAATTACGCACAATGAGAAGTATACAGATACACTGCAAGTTCGAGAAAGTACAAAGTCTCGGATCGCACCATTCCGTCGCGTTCACTCCCCGGGGTAGCGAGTCAAGGTAGAGCACATGGTGGAGCGCGTGCACGATGAACGGTGGTGAGACTTTCTCGGGCGATTTCGCCTGTCAGTCCCGCGGATTCGCCGAGGAGAACTCGACGTCGTGCATCGCGAACCAAACGAATCAACTATCACAATGGTAACATGCGGACGTGCGCGTGCGCGCGCGATCGATTCCGATGATAACGTTTCACGTGCAAATATAGGCGGAGGATCGCGGGCTGAGGATATCCTGCGCGATCACGTTAATCAGGGCTCCAAGGTTCGTTCGGACCTAACACTAACCCGGATATCCGATTACGCGGATAACGGATAGACGTGAGGCCGTTGAATCGATGGAATTGGCCAACAGCGCGCCGTGGTCGGAAGGAATCCTCTTCATTCGACAGCAATGTTGTAGAGACTAACTACTTGAGTTATTGAAACAACCGTGTCATACACTGTTTCAAATAACATCGCTGTTGAATCAGATTTATTTGTTCCAAGCTCAAGAAGATTTGCGGTCAGGTTATCCGGGGATTCGCGAATTTCGCCCGAATAGTCGCACCGTCGAGTTCGAGTTCGCCGACCTAAATTCGCAGCGGATTCCGCCAAATTTCCGCGCATTTCTCGCGGCATCCTGGATCCCTCTCAAGAATTTGATAGTTAATAAATTGATATTTCTTAACAGCAATTCAACACGACTTCACTTCAACTGGATCCGGATTCGACTGCGGATCCGGATCTCGACTTTAGTTCAAGCTTGAATTCGAATATCTTGGATTATCTAGATTATCTGAGCACGGTTTGAACTTTTTAGATCAGAACTGCTTTCGGATAGCTGGATGATCAGATATTCGAATATTTGGAGGCTCTAGCATTAGCACGTTCGCTGTTGACGTCACACATACGCGCCGCGATGATTCTTCATGAGAGATTAACGTCACATATGTGTGATCATCTTTCTTTCTATGTTCACATAAACAAACTGGGTTTGTTTTACATAGTTACATAAAAAAATGAAGGGAGTTCCCCAAGTGAACTTTGTATGCGAACGCGTTAATACGAGCGCGAGACGCTCGACGCAAAATGACTGAAACGCAAGAAAGGTGGAGCAGCGTTTTACGCATTGACTCGTGCAAGTTTCAATCGAATGAAATAATTGGCAAATAGATAATCAAAATAATCATTCGTCACGTGTATCAAGCGCAAGTAATTTAGCTGATTGATAAAAAATTACTAATCAAACTTTAGCTCGATTGATCATGCACTGAATGATAATTAATTCCATCAACCGACTAAATTGTTCGCGACTGTGATGATTGATGAATGTTGATTATCGACTAAAATTCAGTCAACTAAAATTGCCACTGATTAATGCCCAACACTGGATTGACAGCGGCATCCGCGGCGGACTCGATTAAATATCTGTTCGTCCCTTCTGTTCCTTTTTTCTCTTTCTCTCTTTCAACATGCAATACGTAGACTCAAAGTAAAAAAGAAGGAAAAGAAAAAAAATTCATCGCTCGGATCTCGAAGAGAGACACATTCCATATCTCTCCTCGCACCCTCCCAAATTCACGTGTCTGACAGATCGAATTACGCTACAACTTAAGCTAAGTCTCGCGGTACAAATCATAAGTTATCTCTGTCATACAATTCAGAAGCGGATCGAGAATTCACTCCGGTCCGGTAATACATCATTCATTGTGTAATGACTAATCATTCATTTGTCGCATAATTATGATAAACATTACGATTAATTAAGGCAGTGCCGATAAAGTGGGAGCGATCGCGGATCGCGGGCTGCACTCGGCTCGGTCGAGCTAGGTACACTGAGAAAAGAAAATATTGGAAAATTTGTCCGTGGAATTTATTTCTGCGAAACAGAGTCCATTTGCGCAAAACAAAGTTCACTTCTTCGAATAAACTTCGTGTCCCACAAATAGATCTTCAGATGCTGCGCTCTCTTAGTGTAGTCTCGCCGAGCTCGCCCGCGAATTCTCGCACGGCAAAGGAACGCTATTGAGTCGATGATATTGCAATTGATCGCGCCATGTGGTTGGGACAAATCTTCTTGGCGCGACAGCAATGTCATCGAAACTAATACTCGAGTCGTTGAGACAGTACATCATGTATTTGTACGAGTAATTCTCGAGTATTGCTTTCGATAACGCTGCTATCGCATGAAGAGGAATTGTCCTGATCACAGAGAGCGCTGCCGACTAATCGCACCGACTCAACCGTTTTCTTCTCGCGCAGTAAACAAACAAAACTGCACGGCGTACACTCGGTTGCAACACACGGTTGGAATCTTCCCCGATGCAACTCGAGACGCATCCGATGTCTAATAGGAGAACTTACTTTCTGAGAATGATCGAAATAAATTGTTAAGACTAATTCTCCTGTTGGACATCGGCTACTCTCCTTGGATTGCATCGAAGAGGAGCGTTCAAACCGAACTGAAGCCGAGTGTACGCCGAGAGGTGATAATCGCGCGTCGATATGTCGCTCGCGAACTTTCGTCGATACTGATATGGAGTTGGCGCGAAACTACGGTGATATGGCTGATAGCGAAACATCGTGAAAGCACACTCCTCCTCCGCTTTCCTCACTCACACCGAGAGCGGTGTTGGGCATTGATCAATGAGAATTTCATTGAAATAATCGGCGAAATCAATCAGTCGTCATACATAAAATCGCAAGTGATTCCATTAATTGATGAAACAAATTTTTAATTTTTGATGTTTGATTTTTCTTTTTTAATGCTTATCATTATTGATGATATAATAATGGCTGATGAAGTTGATTAATATTAAATTAATGTGATTGATTATACACTGATTAATAATTATTTTTATGTACACGACTGACGAATTCTGACTATTAATTTGCCGACTGTTCAAGTCAAAGAAGATTTTTATCAATCAATAGCCAACACTGACCGAGACACACGAGGGAAAAAATTTTAGTCGGATTCAGGCAGATTCCTGATGAAATACGAATGTATCAGACACTGAACTGAAGTGACTAGAATTCTGCTCGAGTTGACAAGATCTCTGGTTAGTTCGAGCAGAATTCTGGTAACTTCATTTTTTGGTTCCTTCATATCTCACCAGCAACTTGGTGAATTCGACCAAACGCTTCTCCCGCGCATAGCGACGTTCATCACACAGGTGCACACTCGGTGAGGCGACGCAATCGCGTCTCCTCTCGTCGTTGGCTGGCGTATTCTCGCGCGAGAATATCAAACAATACCCGGCACGCATTGTCATCACTCTGTACAGCGGTTAAAAACGACGTTTCGTGTATCGACCTTTCGCGCACGTTCAGGTCACACGTGAACGTGCACAAAGAGGGAGGCTCCCTCACGGGGAGGCGGCACTCGGCGAGGAAGCCGAATCTTCTTCAACCGAGCTAGGACCGAAGTTAGACCTGGCGAAATTCGCCAGGTGATGCGAGGTAACCCCTCGTCTCACCCGACCAGTCTCGCGTCTCACGCCTCTTTCTCTCAATTCTCCCCCTCCCCTTTGAACGCACTTCTACAGACCTCCTCGTCGATGCCGCAACTCTTCTTCTCTTCACACACTCATGCTATTCGAAACTACCGATACTGACGTATGTGTACGATTTTTTTTAAGATATTATGAGTTATAATTAATATATTACTAGAGTAAACGTGCCTGCCGGGAGACAACCGGGCCGATCGATCGGCCTCTGTAATCAGTACTGCGGCTCCTCGTGACTCATTGACGCGGCGAGGCCGACGGCTAAGCGCGCAGGTGTGCGCGCGTGCACATGTAGGAAGTTATTTACAAAAATTACCGCTCACTGGACCGATCACAGCGATCCCTTGTCGTCGTGTCTTGTCGTCGGACGAGCCGTTTGTCGATCAGTCGGCGACGTGGCTGATCCGCGGGATTCGCCGATCCGCGACCGATGCCATCGGCGATGGACTCGCGGTAGGCTATTCGGCGCGGATCCCGCGCGTCTCAGACCCAGCATACGCTGACAGACTCGCTGGTGGCTTGCGAGCCGCCGAAGCTCCCTCGGTGTTGGCTGTAGAGCAGCTTGTAGAGCGCCTGGAGCTCCGCCGGCGTGGAGGTCCATCGTCGGTGCCTGGTCTTGTCCAAAGGCACCTCGGGCAGGCCCACCTCGGTGTGGCAGCCTTTGATAGGCCTGATCGACGAGGTCGACGGTAGGCCGACCTCTTGGAACGAGCTTATCGAGGAGAAGCCGCTCTCGCTCTCGGCGCTGCTCACGCTGACCGGACTCTTGGCTTTGCAAGTCGACTCCTTCTTCTCCAGTTGCTTCGAGGACGGCGCGGCGAGCGCCGCGGTGTCCTCCTCCTCGGTGGTCTTGCTGCTGCTGGAGTTCCAGGAGGTGGTGTCGGGGGATCTTCTCGTGCGCGGCAAGCTCGTGGCTTGTAAGCTCGCGTTCACCTCGACCGCCGTCTTGGCGTAGCACGAGCTGCCCGAGTCGCCTGTTTGGACGAGGTTCGACTCATTGCCGCGCTCAGTGCCGACGTGACCGGCTTCCTGCAGAGTCGTCGAATTGACGAAGTTGCCGCTCTGTAGGGTGACGGACACGTCGTGGTAGTGGTGGCGCTCCGTCGGTGAAGGGGAGGATCCGTTGTCCTCGACCGGGGTCACCCTTGCCAAATCGGGCTCTCGCGTCGCCAGCAAGGAATCGACGAGCCTCAGTAACCTGCGGTGACATTTTCACCGGATCAATACGCGAATGTTAGACAGAATAGGCGGTGCAATAAAGCCATGATATGGCGGAAGCAGGAATAATCAAATCCTAAACATTAATTGATTATTAATTAAGCATTTGACTTACTATTTTAGAGAGGCTTAATTTTTTTTCTTTGCTATAAAATTTCCGTCGTGTTAGGATGGATGGTGGAATCGTCGAGGATCCATGTTACGCACCTGTACGCTTCCTGGGACAGCTTCTCCGGTGGTATCTCGTCCGGGTTCAGTTCCGACTGTTTCGGCTCCTGATAGACGATGTCGTCGTGCGTCTTGTTAAGATCCTGCGACGGCTTGGCGCGCGGGGTCGTGCAATACACCGGGTCGTTCTTACGCAAGACCGACCAGGTGAAGTCGCGGATGCTGCTGACGCTCGGCGACATCTGCGTGACCGATTTGGCTCGCGTGAATCGCGAGGAGCCGGATGGCGATGGTGAGGAGGTCGAGACGCGACTCGGCGAGGGGTCAGCGTGCACCACCGCGTGCACGCTGCGACTTCGCGGCACGCGCCTCTTGTCCTTGGGATTGTCCTTGATGTGAAGGATCTCAAGGCTCTTGTGGGCGCGGTCCAAGAAGTAGGCGACCTGCTCCATCACGGACCGGTACATCTGCCGATTCGATTCGACCTGCGAGCGAACGGAACGGTTATCTCTGGATGCCTGACATTGCTGTTTCCTTCCAATTGTTCGCTTGTCTTTATCTGTCTTTGACAGAAAATTTTTCTTCCTGTATCTTTAACAGGAAATAGTAATAATAATAATGGTAACTTCATTGAGTGCGGTTGATGCAGATAATAATAATAATGCTAAATGAGGGAGAAAAAAGCAAACAAACAAGATCGCGTGCAAAAAGTATGGATGCTGTTTTCAGCCTTGATTTAACAAATAAGATATCAGGTTGGTGCAAAAATTTGTCATTTTTCTATTAAATTCTCGCAGAAAGTTTGAGTATCAAGAAGATAGAAAGTTCAATGCTAAAAGAATATCGAATGGATGTTGATAATTATTAATGAATTAATAAATTGATCATTTATTATTTCATAATTTGATAATTATTAATAAATTAATAAATTTTACGAATAAAGTAAACAACATCCATTCGATATTTTGGTCACGAGTTATTATTTAATTAATAATTTCTATATATAATTTTAATTTAGAATATTTTGGTGAATTAATCCAACGACATTGAACAAATTTGTTTTCTATTTCATTGTGTTTCATCAAACACGACAAGCCTTTTGCACCGACTCAACATGAACATGAATCAACCGAATCTTTATCTTTTTGTATTTTTGACACGGGGGGCAAAGTGATGACAAAACACTGTACAACGCACAAGTGTGACAAACACTGATAATACTGATAATCGAAATTAGCGATAACTTACTTCGAGAAGCTAGACAAAGTATTTGGAAACGACAGAAACGAGAGGAAAAGGTACGAACGCGCTACAGAGCGACATGATGCGCTTGGAGTTTAATTACCGGCGCTCGCGGGACGGGGGACACGCGGTGTGCGTGTGCGCGGGTCCATTCATGAAATGATAATGAGGCACAGGCGGGAAAAATCGGGTCAACGAAAATCACGCGGATCATCGAGGGGGAAAACTGGCTGCGAGCGTGCGCCGACCGGTTGTTGCGTGACGCGATATCGAGTAACCGGAGCGAGGTAAACCGGTTGGCCACCTTATCAGTCGCTTCTTCCGCACATTTTTCGCGAGCCGGCGTGGCTACGAACCTGTTTGAACTGCCATTGGAGCGTATCGACCCGCGCTTGGAGGAAGCCGTTTTGCAGGAAGGCGCTCTGCAGCCTCCGGTTCTCCTTCTTCAGCAGCTGGCATTGCTGCAACGAGAAAACGAAGAGCGCGTTACTCGCATCAACTCGGGTCAAGTTCCCCGACGTCCGCGGTCTCACGCGTGCGATTACGATCGGCATGATCGTCGTAATAGTATCTCGGGAAAATCGAGGGGACGTCGTGCGCGAATAATTTTACTTATCCGCGCTTAGTGGGAAGATCTCCTTGCTCACACGCGAAACTTACTCGTTCGACGAGGAACAAGAAATTCGTAACCGATTTTATATTGTCTAGACATTGGATGAAAAGTCGGTTGCAGCAGGAGCAGAGAGAGATTCCTGCGGAAGGTTTCTACTCGGTTTTTCTCAGAGCCGAGTAGAAAAATTCCTGAAGGAAGCTCGTCAGAAACCAGTTTTTATTATTTGGATTTCTCACTAGACAGTAACGGTTAAATGAGTAAGAAAAACATATTGAGATAAAACTGATTAATTAGTGGCCGGTATATAGGTAATGTAAATCCTTGATAGAGGGCGTTGTTAAAAGATTTTCTAGATCAAAACTAGTCAGAAGCTAGGCTAAACAGGCTAGAAACTGATAACTAGATTATTCTCACTTTTTCCGTGTAAAGGAGAGTAAATAACATAATGTAAGACATATCTTTATGAGAAGTATTGATGAATAAGGCAAGACGCAGGCAAAGCAATCGTAAACTCAAGCTAAGCAAACAGTTGTCAATGAACACCGGTATAAATTCATATTAAAAATATATGAGAAGCATATAAATATAAATGAGAGAAACGGACGAAACGCGATTAATTTATAGTAAGATGATATAAGTATTAAATATTCGCGCGAGCATTAAGTGCACTTATCTACATATCGTAATGCAGACATAATAGATTTGAATTTTGAAGAAAGTCTCAAGAAAATTACACACATTTTTTGCTGATCCGAAAGTAGGAATTGTATTTGTGTGAGGAGTTCCCCGAAAGAAAAAGATTCTCCACGGGAGAAGAATCTGGGAAAGATTTTCCAACGCGTCGCCAATAGTCGCGACAGTCAATGACGGACAGATTCGTCGCAAATTTCAGCGAGCTTCCTTTCGATATTGAACACTTCCTCTCCTTCTAGGAGCTTTCCTCCTCCACCCCTTGCAAGTTCGCGTGAATTCGAACTCGGAGCGAAACGCGAGCGGATTTTATGGATCCGTTGACGCCGCCTCGGCGCGCATTCCACCTCGCTTTACTGGCAAAAACTCGCCGTTTCTACGCTTCTACGCCAGTAACGATCTGCTTCAAGAGCAAAGGAAATGTGCAGAAACGAGAAGGAAAGAGAGAGAGCGGAGAAGAAAGACAGGGAGATAGCAGGACGTCGAACAGAGGGAAAGAGAGAAAGGGTAGAGACGGGAGACGCGGACGAGTTACGGAGCTAATAGTCGGTGCTTCTCCGAAATCACGATTCTAACGAGGCTACTTCGGCGATGCGTAAGCTCTCGTGTACAGAACGGGATCCATGTGTGTCGCGAACGGATGACACGACAAAGACGAAGACGACGACGACGACGACGACGACGACGCGCGAGCAAAACGCGCGCGCGTCGATAGCTTTCCGCAATTAATCGCGGGATGCGCGAGCGTGTTATTACGAATTTCACGCTATTCCGCTGATCGCCGTGGGCGCTTATTTCAATTAATAACACGTCGGACGTTATAATAGCGCCGTTTTTAAGCCGCTCGGGCCGTTAAACGAGCTATGTAATGGGATCTTTGAGGTAATCCGTCGCGCCGGGTAATTAATTAGATTCAATCGTAATCGGCATAGACCTACAAACCTCATTTTCCCGACTTTCCTGCTTTTATCAGAGCCTCCTCGCGCGGTGATTTTCGCGCGACCTTCCGCCACCGCCGCTCGTGAACGCCCGAGGCATTCGCGGAGCATCACGCGTGAGCTCGCCGGAACAAGTCCCGCTTCTCCGACAATACGCATTGTCTGTCTGTATGCGACTTCAAATTTTGTCGAGTGCACTTCCCTGTGGCAGTGCACTCGCAAACAATCGCGCAGATCGGATCGTGTTACCGAGGGGAAATAAATATCTTATCGTGTTTTAGTTTGTACACCGAACGCGATTCGCGATAACGATTCAATTGAACTGAACTGTGTTATTCTTAGAACCCCACCCATTAAGAAGTTACATAAACCCCAAACATGATAAATTTTGCCCAGCGCGTTTCTTTGTTCAAATCTCCCGGAAAAATTATCAAAATTTAATGTTTCTTTTAATGAATTAAAACAATTAAAAAATTAAAACTAAAATTAAAACATTGAAATTAAAATTGAATCTGATTTCTTAGTATTCTGTTCGACCGTATTTGGCTCATAAGTTCCAGAGATACTATTTCCTTCAATCAAAATGCGTTTGGACACGTTTAGAGACGCCAAAATTAATGAATTAACGTGACAATCAACCTTTGACTTACAAGTAAACTTACCCAAAAGTTATACTCCGATTTCTTTCTAATTTGACACAAATGTAGAAGTATAAAAAATATTTAGGTCATATTTTTTCATTTTGGCTCACTTTGAGTTGCACGGACAGTTTATAGCTTTTTAATGTTCTCACTCCTATCATCAAGTGCAACAAAAATGCATAAGAAATAAAATTGAATGCAAGATATAACTGTTTTTGGTTTGCTGATTATAAATATGAAGTAAAATGTGTAAAATTATTTGTATAAATAATAAAATATTTAAACAAAACATGTAAAAAGTTGAAAAAAATTATTTATACAAATAATTTCTCGGTTTGGCCGAGATTCGAATCATTTTTGACTAATTTAACACAGATTTGAAATATTTTGGTTGGAATCTCGACTAAAGAAATTTTGCATGGTTCGTGTCTTAGCTATGCCGATTTTAAAATTATTTAACTATATCTTGTTTTCAATTTGATTTCTTATGCATTTTTGTTGTAGTTATTGATGTAGAAGTTAAAAGACTATAAACTGCCGGTGAAACTCAAAGTGGATTAAAATAAAAAATGTGACCTAAATATTTTTTGTACTTCTAAATTTGTGCCAAATTAGAAAGAAATCGGAATGTACCTTTTAGGTAGATTTACTTAGTTAATACAATTTCTTTTAGTTAGTTAACACAAGAGAAAAGATTGACAATGACACAAGTAAACGTGTTTTGCTTGAAGGAAACGGCATTTCTAGCTCTTAAGAACCGAATTTGTTTGCTGAGAACCAGAAACGTTTCTTCGAGTTCTTTAGTACCAAATTCGGTTTACAAGAACCAAAATTCCGTCTCCCCCAATCGAAACGCATTCAGTTGTGTCACGGCCGTGTTAATTCGACCAATTCTTTTGTTCCATGAAGGATCGTCGAGCGATCCTTCAGGCAGATTGGAGGTAACGACGGCGAGACGAGAGAAAATCCGCGCGCGAGGCCGACCATTAATACTCGACGAAGTGGCGATTCATTACGTGCCACTCGCTTATTATGCAACTTAACTGACTGGGTAGGCCCTCTGTCCCTCTCTTTCTCCGCTCGGCGTGGGACATTGTGATCGGCGGATAATGTCGGCTTTCCAGGTGAGAGCGCGGAGCAATTCGCGGCGGCTGGTCGGTCGGTCGGTCGGTCGGTCCATAAATCTGAAGCTGGCGTCGAGAAAAGGTCACGGGAGAGGAACGGGCGAAAGAGAGGAAAGAGCGGATCGCGGCACGGATTTAATGAACCGGCCGCGCGTTTTCCACGCTTTCCGTCGCGAGCCCGAACGCGACTAACGGGTCGTCACGCAACTCGTTCCGCACGCGACAAAAATTCGCCATTAAATCTCCGCGAGATGCTATCTCGCGATCCTCCGCACGTTCTTATTTCCCTTCCACGGCTAATCGATCCGGCCGATACCGCCGGCCGGCCAGTCGTTGGCCGCCGACGAGATACCACTCGATAGCATCCACGCATCTATCGATTCCGCGTCTCTTAAAGAATTTAATGGAACCCTCGGCCGAAGTCGAACGCGAGACGCAGGCAATTTTCTATCTAATTCGCGATAGCCATCGCCACGAGGCCGCGGGATCGTTGTAGTTATTAACGCGAGGCCGTAAGACCGTCGTCCTTCGCGAATACCTCGTTACGGGGTATCACTTTTGATTACATTCTGAAATCGAGCGCGCACGCTTTGGGCTGGATTTACGGCACGCCGCCTCTCGTTCGTTTCTCTCGCGATATTGTCGCGATATCGATGATAAAGTTCCTAACGAGAGAGAGGAGACCGCGCGAAATTGCGGACGGGGACGTGCGCGATCTTTAACGCCTTGACTGCCACGCCGCTTTCCATTGATTGCTTCGATGATTCATTGAAGCTTAAGCCTTTAGCTTAAGAAGAAATTTATTATTAAAGTCAGGTGAAAATAATCTCATCTTAAAGTGGCGTAAGTATGATATCTGTTGACACGTTGATCATCACGCTCATTTCCATCGATTATTTCCGTGCTTCACACATTGAAACTGAACTCTTTCAGGGAGGGATTTATTAAAATCAAAAGAAAATGATATTTCAATTTTAGATGACATAAATATATCTGTTAACACGTTGACTTCCATTGATAATTTCCATGTTTCAGTGAAACTTAACCTTTTAAGAAATGAATTGATTAAAATCAAAGGAAAATGACTTCATTTTAAAGTGACATAAATACGATATTTGCAAACGCATTGACTGTCACACTGATCTCCATTTATTATTTCCATTCGATCGCTTCATCAAAACTTAACCCTTTCAGGAATAAACTTACTAAAGTTAGAAAAAATTATTAAATTTTAAAATAATATATCTGTCAACACACGTTGGCTGTCGCGTTGAGATTTCTACTAATTACTCCAATACTTCACATTGAAGCTTAACCTCTTCAGGAAATTTATTAAAGTCAGGAGGAAATATGATTCTATTTTGAAGTGACACAAATATGGTATTCTATGGATGATTTCTATTGATTGTTCTAATGCTCAATTGAAGTCTGAATTCCGAAAGAATGATAAATAAG